GAGCCCTGAGTGGGTCAGAAAACAATGGTGAGAGCGATTCATGTTTGCCGAGCTGGGCACGGGGTGGTACCCAGGGCCACTCGGGTGCCAGTGGAGCACGCAGAGCCTGGGGTCTGTGGCTCCCTCTCCAGTCCACAGCGCCAGAGAGGTGGGTCTTCCTGGGTGTCCCAGCCCAACCAGCGCTCACCGCCCCGGGGTGCTGGCCAAGGTGGCAGCCTGCGTCACCTCCCTGTACATTCCCAACGTGACAACTCAAATTAAACCTGATCGCGCAGCAGAAGGTGGTGGCACTGAGTCCACTGCATCTCATCGTCACGTCGCTTCTTAGGTGGCAACGCCTGAACTTCTCTGTGGACTCGCCCTCTGGCCCCAGTAGCCGTTGTTAAAGTTCCTTTCTTCCCTTCCATCTGGATTTCCTTTGCGTGTGCTCTGACTCCTCGACCGTTTGCAGGTTTTTTTATTTGAGCATCACACCCACTGGGCCTTTCTGTTCACCTGGAATTTAACATGAGTTAGCTGCACCTTCACATTATCAGCAAAATTGGATTTTTCAAGAGAGAATTCTATTTTAAATGCACTAGAGGGAGCTTTCCATGCAGTGGAGGCTTTAAATGAACCCTTTCACACTCAGCAAAGCCTTTCATCAAGTGAAGAGGGACACACACCCACCCTATCCCACCCTGCCCACCTAGCAGGTGGTTATCAATGCCGGCGTGGTGCCCCCTGCTCTGCCGGGCTGCACCCGTGCTCAGGAGGACACGAGACCAGGCAGCACCCAGCCCCCGGCCTGAGCCCACCCGCCAGGGTCTGTCCCTCACGAAAGATCTCACGCATGAGTTCTGTTAGAGCTTCTGTCTCCACCACACTTCACATAATGAGTTCTTCTTAATTCTAGCATGCACGAAGCAGGAGCCATCCACAGCAGACAATTATTTTACGTGAGAAACCATTACTGACCTAATGTTGGTGCCGTGCGCTTTTGCGGCATTAACGCCGCTTCCTCCGCTGTTCGGCGGTGGTTTCAGGCTCAGTGTGATTCCGGGGCATGTCCCATGTTGTTTTCTGTCTCAGCACGGTTCTCCCATGTTCTCTGGGGATGACCTGGCAAGGCTTCTCCTTTTTCTCACTTTTCCTCACTGAAAGGGAGCCACGATGTAGTGAAATAAGAGCCTTGACCCATCACATTTCGTCTGAGGACCCCACGGCGGCTCCGGGAGGCAGCCATCAGCAGTGACCGTCTCCAGAGATCACGGCACACGGAGGAAGAGCCCCTTCCTCGCCTCACCTGCTGCAGCTCCTGACAGCTTCATGGCTCAGCCAGAATTCAATGAGGGACGGTACGGTCTCCCAGGATCCCACACTAGTGTCATCACACAGACAGCCCTTCAGAGGACGTCATCATTGAAAATCGTTCTAAAAAAGAAGTTTCAGGGACTAAAGAAAGTTCCGTACCCTAAGCCACCTAAAGGAGAGAGGCTTTAACTCAGATGAACCCTTAATGTGACATCTCGGGAGGGCCGAGAGCTCCTTGTCTCGAATCAGACTATTTCTACCACACCTGCTCCTCCTGAGGTTCATGACTCCTATGACAGAAGCTGAGGGGTCCCCATAGAAGCTGCCACTGTCCTCGTGCCTGGAAGGCATCAGAGAACATAACGGATTGACTGTCACTCTCTCCTAGAAGGGTTTGCTCAGGAGATCTGTGAAGTCACCTGAGCATCAAATGTGTTTTGTGAATTCCAGGTAATCATGCCTCGTCTCACTGGACACCCCCCCGAACCCTGGAAACAGGAGGAAAGCCCCTCAGAGGTGAGGTGGCCCGTCCAGCTTCCCCGCCACGCCCAGCATAGGCGTGCAGAGCGGAAACCCACACCTCAGCTCTGAAGCCCGAGCTTCCCTGTGTCACCCAACACACTCAGCATCTGACAGCAACTCCAGCACTCCTGCCTTTAACTGGCCTTTTTTTGTGTTGGAAAAGTTTCTTAAAAGCCAATAGGCATCTTATGTTTTTAATTACACAAGACTGGCTGTAACACATTTTGTGTATTAGAACCCGGCTTCCAACCCAGCAGCGCACCTCTGAAGACAGACAGCATGCTCTAAACGTGGGTGTGAGGCTGCAGCACGTGGGGCTCCCTGGCTCTGCACCTCGGCCGTCCCCACCCACACGGTCAGGGCCAGCGTCTCACTGAGGTCAGCGTCGGGGGTGTGAGGAGTTATGAGACCCGTGTTTGATGGAGCCTGTACCTTTCCCAGCTTCCGAGCAGTTAGTAACACGGCCAACAGCTTCCGCAAAGTTACCTCCCTTCTCAATGAGAGGGCAGGTTTCCTTGTACGTAGAAATACCTTGTCATTTTTATCAGGAAGCTATTTAGTTATGTTCTTGCTTTTACACGTGGCAATTAAACAGCAAACATCTTGCCATTGCTTCTGGATGATTTCTAAAGAGCCAATCAAGCAGAATGTGGGGTGTGGGGTGTATGTGGGTGTGTGGTATGGGGTGTGTGGTCTGTGGTGTGTGTGGTCTGTGGTGGGTGTATGGTGTGGGGTGTGTGCTGGGTGTGGGGTGTGATGTGTGGTGTGTGATGGCTGTGGGGTCTGTGGTGTGTGGTTTGTGGGGCTGTAGGGTGTGTACTGGGTGTGAGGTGTGTGGTGGGTGTGTGATGGGTGTGGGGTGTGTGCTGGCTGTGGGGTGTGTGGTGGTCATGGGGTGCGTCTGGCTGTGGGGTGCCGGTAGCCAGTGGCCTTCCTTGGGGTGAGCCCCCTCTGTGGTCTGTGTTTATTTAGCCTGAGCCTCTTTGCCGACTTGAGGTGCTTGAAAGATGCTGTGAATTGAGCTGGCTTCTCCTTCTACCTACAGTCATGGCTGCTTTCACATTTAAATTGCAGCAAAGTTCTAGGGACAGCGTGTCCAGAAGCCACAGCTCCTAGCAAAGTTACAGTCACAGGTGCAGCAGACGATGCGGCGCTTTTCTGAGATTTTTTTGGCTGAAGCACAAACGTTCGTGCCGTGGAGCTGAGACTAACCTCGCGCTCTGCATGTAGGGACTTGATTTTCCTAAGACAAGCTTGTCTCGGAGAGGCCTCCCCTGCATCGTTTCTGCTGTGATTCTGCTGGGGGCCGTGGGGAGGCGAAGGGAGGAAGCGGCTTCCTCGGGCGCCGCCGTCGTGGCCGCGGGAGGGGTCCTTCGGCTTCCTGCCTTCCTCGCTACCATTTAACAAACTGACCCGTTTGTGTCAGGCTGTTTTAATTGTATGGATTTCCTTTAAAAAAAGATTGAGTTTACTGTGGGCTTGTCGACTTCTGAAGCCTCTGGACACCCAAAGAGGAGGAGTGCGGCGAACCCATGCACCAGACCCGGCCTTCCGCCCGCGTGAGCTGTCAGCCCATCCCCGCGGCCCAGCTCACAGAGGCTGCCCCAAAACAGCGGCCCCTTTCCTGCTGCAGAGGTCTGGCTTAAAAGGCAGTGGCCCTCATGGTGTTCCCTGCCCTGGAGAATGGGGTCCTTTGGCCAGGGGATGGGAGCTGGAGGGACAGCCAGCTTAGTCCCAACAGTGGCTCCCATCACCACGAGCCTGGCCCCCGGCCCTCTTGTGCCTGGCCTCCCTGGTGGAGGGCTGCAGGGCTGTCCTGACGGCCGGATTCTCCATGCGGCCTGCTTTGCTTTCCCTTCATGCAAACACGACATTTGGCCCCAAGGCGTGTCCTCCCCGGGCTCCCCGCCACCCCTGCCCTTCCTCCTGTCTGCCTGCTGCTCTGAAGCAGACCCTGTGGCTTGGAGGTGCTTCACAGGCACCCACTACTCTGCGGAGATGATCCTCCTGGAACCCAAGCCCCCAATGGCTTCTTGGTTGCCACCCTGGGAAGCCCACAGGGAGAGGAAACTGAGGAGCCCCAGGAATTGTAAACCCGCTCTCCTGACTCGCTGGGTGAGGAAAGTGGTGTGCGCCCAGGTCGTGGCCAGAGAGAAAGGCCCAGAGCCCACCTGACTGCCGGCCCCCCGGGGCCTCCTCAGATCCTCAGCCAGCACCATCCTGCCGGTGGTAGTCCGGGTTCCAGTGAGAGCAGCCTCCTTCCGTCTGTGGCTTGGACAAGCCGCTGGTCGTGTCTGTTTCCTCACAGTCCTCGGTTCACCGTGTTCGGTAGAGGTGAGGTGAAGTGCCCGGCACCCACGTGGGTTTCCCCGTGGGACCCTGGCCCGCTTCCGGGCCGCCGCCTCTCCTCACCCTGCACCTCTTTGCGTTTCTCACCCTGGCGGCCGTGTCCTCTCTGCCCTCTCAACTGCCACACGCTGGAGAGGCTGGGACCCTGTCTGCTCATCATCCTTCTATAAAGAACCTAGCAAGATGGAAAGGCAAGAATATGTGTTGGATTAATTATAAGCTTAAAATTTTAAACTGAAATCGTCTGACGTGCGTGTGGCCGGCGTCACCTGCCGTGAGAGAGGTGCCGTCTACAGGAGGATGGAGCTTTCGGTGACCCGCCGAGCTGGGAGAGCAGCTGCCTTCACCTGGGCCCAAAACGTGGAACCCTCGAGTTTAAAAAGCCAGGAATTCAATAGTTAAAGGTCAATATTAAGGTTGAGTCGATTAATGTAAATTGATCTGATTTTTCACTTCTTTAAATTAAAATAAATCCTATGCAATCAGAATCAAAGTGATTCCTGTGATTTACTGCATCCCTAAAGCATCACACAGAAAGAAAAGCGGTGGAGCCTCGGTCTCCGACGGCGACGGCCCGCTGTTGGTGAGAATCTATGCGGGCGCCGTGTATCTGCTGTTCAGCCCAGCTCTCTGGAGCTCATGCTAATGAAAGCCGCCCCTGCCTTGGTCCTCTGTGTGAACACTGAAGCTGCAGCGGCTGCCAGGCCTGCTGAGGGATGAATGGAATCGTTTTCAACTGGCCTCTCAGCCTGGGGGAGCGTGGCTGGCAGGAGATTGACAGGTGCGCGTGGATTATCTCGTGCTCTGAACTCAGCCCAATTTGTGGTTTGTTGCAGGTGCTAAAGAGATTGACATCGCCGCGACCCTGGAGCACTTGAGGGACCAGAGACCCGGCATGGTCCAGACGAAGGTACTGCCTGTCCCTCCCCTGGGACACGGGCCCACCGAAGGCACCTCTCTGCGGCGTGTGCCTGGGAGGAGTGCGGGGGGGGGCCTGGTTAACATGAGCTGCACGCCGATTGCTCTGCTCTGGCCGGCCTCGTCCGCGCCCGTCCCGCGTGGGCAGGGGCACATCTGGGGCCCAGAGGTCCACCGGTGATACCCGCAGCCCCTCCGATGCAGCGCATCCCACGTCACAGGAACTCGATTCACCGGCACTTTCCGTTCCTAGATTAGGGGGTTGGGGGGAAGGCGGCATTTTTGTAGAAAGAGGGTGATGATACGATGTTCTGGGCTCCTGAGCACTGCCCGGCCTCCCCGGGGCCTGCGCCATGTGGGTGCCCCAGGACACAGCTTCCTCCCGCACCGATTCGCTCACGCTGGCTGAAGAGGCCAGTTTGCAGACACAGGGAGATTGTCACGAAAATCTCGGGTGATTTTGTGAAAGTTCTTTATTAGTCTTGGGTCACTATATTTTCTTAGGTTTTTGGTTTGTTTTTGAGACAGGGTCTCGCTCTGTCGCCCAGGCTGGAGTGCAGTGGCACGATCTTGGCCCACCGCAACCTCAGCCTCCCGGGATCATGTGAATCGCTTGCCTTAGCTTCCTGAGCCAAAAAAAAAAAAAAAAAACACATACACTCACACACACACACACGCACACACACACCGAAATAATCCACCAACCCTCCACCCAGTTTCCCCAGATGTGAACACCTCAGATAACCACAGCACAGTGACCAAGCCCAGGAAGTCAGCATCTACAAACCACCGACTGACCGATAGGCATGGACCGATGCCCCCGCGCCTCACCAGGGAGCTTCCCTGGAGCGGGACACGCGCACAGCTACCACGTGAGGGCATCACGGCTCCTCTGGTGACCGGGACGCTTCAGAGCCGTGAGGTCTTCTAGGGCGCCCGCAGCCTTGCCCTGTCTTTGTGGAATGCATCTTGGCTGGGGTGTGCCGCGTCCCCATGGTCAGGGCAGGGGGCAGGATGTCCCTCGTGAGTGGACAGCATGTCCACACCCACTGACGCACGTCTGGAGGTCTCTGCGCGGCTGGGTGATGATTTTTCCCTATGCGGTCACTCAGTGTCTCACGGGAGAAGCTGGGACGTGTGCACATCTGTCTCTCTTTGTGCGGGTTCGCCACAGCACTCGGCACGTACAGTGAGGAGGTGACACGGGACAGCTGCTGCTCCAGTGACAAGGACTTCCCAGGTTTCATGCCACGGAAGGAAGGTCCGTCTTGCTGCACTGACCGTCCCCCTGGAATGGCTGCCTGGTAGTGAAAGGGGTGGCCTTGTCAAGGCAGGCACATGCCACCTTCCAGCCGGCCCTGTGTCACTGGACAGAGGAGGCCGTGGACACCGGGAGAATGGGGCACGCGTAGCCGGGAACGGACGGCAAGTGCCGCCTTAGGCAAGAGTGATCCTGACTCCACACTGAGGCCACTCTGGGACAAGCCCCAGGGAACCTCACATTCAAATCCATTTCCTCCCCCACCTCTGCCTGCCTCTCAGTCACCCTCTTCCCTCCAGATGGGCGAGTTTGCCCAGAACACGCACTGGCTTTAGGTTGGGTCTGGGCAAAATCCCTGCAAGGAAATATCGTCTTGCCAAAAATGAAAAAAAATTGCAAAGAGCAAACCCTATAAGCCTCTGTGGTGTGTGTCCTGTTTTCCAAAACAAGCCCCTCCTGGCGCACAGACGGCTGAGGGGTGCAAGGGTGGTCCCAAGACCCTTCCTGAACTGAGGCACTTCAGGACTCATCAGAGAAAAAGGAAGCCACAGTCAAGATCATTGCATGCCAGGTACTCCATTCTATTCTATTTTTAAATGCAAGATGATAGCAAAGACATGGAATCAACCCAAACGCCCATCAGTGAAAGACTGGATAAAGAAAATGTGGTACATATATACCATGGAGTACTACGCAGCCATGAAAAGGAATGAGATCATGTCCTTTGCAGGGACATGGGTGGGGCTGGAAGCTGTTATCCTCAGCAAACTAATGAAGGAACAGAAAACCAAGCACCACATGTTCTCACTTATAAGTGAGAGCTGAACAGTGAGAACACATGGACACCGGGAGGGGAACAACACACACGGGAGCCTGTAAGGAGGAAGGGGAGGGAAGGGCATCAGGATAAATAGCTAGTGCACGCAGTGCTTGATGCCTCAGGGATGGGTAATAGGGGCGGCAAACCACCATGCCCACATTGACCTATGTGACAAACTGCCCGTCCTGCACGTGTATCCCAGAACTTCAAATAAGATTAAATTTAAATAAATAAACAAATGGCAAGGTGACATGTACACCCCCTGGCCCTGTTGCCCAGATCACTTTGTGACCTGAAGCCCCGTTTTCTGCACTCCAGCGGCCTCCTGGCTGCTTGCGTCTTGGACCGGGCATCTGCAGGAGTTCCCCCTCTTCCTTAGAGTGCCTATTTGGGGCTGTCTTGGAGCGTGCACATAAATCAGTCCTGAAACTTCCAGGCAAGGGAAATGGGAACCACGCGAAAGTCACCACCTTGTCGTTATCTCTGACTGTGCTGCCCAGCGACACCCTGAGAGTAAGCTTCCTCCAGAAGTTCAATTTCACAAAAAGATAGAAAAATGATTTGGGCAAAATGGTGCCAGCCGTTCTGAATGCTTGCTTCTGCGAAGCCAAGAGGAGGCCGTCTGCAACTCCTCTGAACGGAGGAAGTCACGTCGCCTCGTTTGGAGCTGAAGACCAGGAAGGAACAAGCCGATGATGGTGAGCGCCCAGAGTCGGTGGCCAGGGTGACCACAGGCCCTGACAGCACGACATCATCATTGTGGTAAAAAAGACCCTCAGGATAGCTGTTTCCTTCCTGGAATTTGGGTCAAATAGAAAACATTTCACCAGTGCCCACTGGGCATTTGGCAACTTAGTCTCTGAGCACAAACTCCATCATCTTAGAAGTCAAGACTGGGCACCCAGAGGCTAAACAGCAGCTCAGGATCCAACTCCACACGAGCTGCCAGAGAGGCAGCACAATCACACAGCCACACACCTGCACACACCCATACACACCTGCACACATGGCACACACCCCCACACACTCCTACACACGCACACATGCAGTGTACACCCACATGCAGACTGCACACACACCTGCACACACCCATGCACACACACAACACACCCACACCTACACCCACACATGGTGTACACCCCCATGCAGACACGCACACTGTGCACACACACCTGCACACTCCACACCCACACACATTCCTACAGACCCACACATGCAGTATACACCCACATGCAGGCACACACTGTGCACACACCCATGCACACCTGCACACTCCACATCCCCACACACTCCTACACACCCCCACACACTCCACACCCATGCGTATGGTGTATACCCACATGCAGACATGCACTGTGCATACACACACCTGCACACACCCATGCACACCTGCATACACACCCACACATACAGTGCACACCCACATGCAGACATGCACACTGTGCACACATGGCACACACAACACACAACACACACACACATGCAGTGCACCCACACAGCCATGCACACTGCAAACACCCATGCACACCTTCACACACATTGCACACCCACACCTACACGCACAGCCATGCACACTGCGCATACCCACACACCTGCACAGACCCATGCACAGCTGCACCACTGCACACACAGTGCACATCCACACATAGCCATGGACACTGCACACGCACATACCTGCACAGCTATGCGCACCCCACATACACACCCATGCACATGGTGCACACACAGCCACATCCACTGCACACACCCACACATCTGTGCACACCCATGCACACCTGCACCACTGCACACATTCCCACACACAGTGCACATCCACACACAGCTGCATGCACACACACACACCAGCACAGCTGCACACACACCCCAATGCACACACCCTCGGAAGACATGAGGGTGCCGGACAAGGCTGAAATCACCTGTCTCCGTCTGTGCATCTGTTGTCGATGGGTTCTTCTCTTCCTTCCCTCCACACTCCTCATGAGTTTCCCATTTAACCAAGGACCTTAACTCATTCCTGCCCACAATGGTATGTCCTCTTTCACATTTATCAGTTCCAGAAGTAGAGCCAGTGATGAGTGTGTCCCACACCCAAGAAGCCCCGTGCCCTCCTCCCTGGACGGGAGACCCCGCGCGCCCTCCTCACTGGACAGGAAGCCCCCCAGTGCCCTCCTCACTGGACAGGAAGACCCCAGTGCCCTCCTCACTGGACAGGAGCCCCCCAGTGCCCTCCTCACTGGACAGGAAGACCCCAGTGCCCTCCTCACTGGACGGGAGCCCCCCCAGCGCCCTCCTCACTGGTTGGGAGCCCCTGTGCATCTCCACTCGGTGCCCATGTGTCACTGTCCCCTACCTGCCGTCTCCACATCTGCATTCGAGTTTCTTCCTTCCCCATTTTCTTCTGCACCTGCCCCTTGTCCTAAAGCCCAACCTCAGCCTCTTCCTCAGATGTGCCCCGTGTAGGTCCTTGGTCCCAGAAGCAGGGCCTTGGCCCAGACATGCTTCTGTCTCCCCCGCCCCGCACAGCCCCGGAGTGACAACACGACTCCATCACACAGCCCAGTCCATGCCCACACGTCAGCCCCAGGCCTGCAGCCCGCTTCTCCCAAGGCCTCCCGTGCCGCTGAAACTGATCATTTCCGTAGCTCTCCACCTCCCTCTCTCTCTCTCCGTCCATCCCCACTTCTCTCCGTCTGTCTCCATCTCTGTCTCTCCATCTATCCCCACTTCTCTCCGTCTGTCTCCATCTCTGTCTCTCCATCCATCCCCACTTCTCTCCGTCTGTCTCCATCTCTGTCT